GAATTGAGCTATTTTCAGTAATGACCATGGGACAAAATCTTAAGGATTGTCTTTAGTCATGCAGTACTTAAAGAATTCTTAGTAAAAAAACACTTGAGGTCATCAAATTACTGGAAAACGCACTCACTGGAATCACATAAGATATCCCTCAACATATTCGAGATGGGGTGCACGCGTGCTCACATAAACAGTAATTATGCAGTGTTTACAGTTATTAACTGAGGTAGAGAAATAAACAGCAACGTTTATCTACTCCACAAGACAAAAAGTCGCAGCCGAGGTGTTAGTAGAGTACAACAGAATGAGAGATTATGAGAATCAATGACAATAGAAGTACCAAGCACTAACTTGTGAAAGAGCATAGCTTGCTAAAAGTTGGATGTTAGGTTTCTCATCCACAGACTAAAAAAGAATTCTTTAAAAACTGACCTGAAGATTTCTTAAGGTAATCTCATCATTTGGTTTTGTATACAAAACTGTCAAATGAGAAAGCAAAATTTTCAGGGCAAAGTGAGCCAAATATCTTGGTTCATTTGGTGCTATATCAGATGTGACGTTACATTGTTCGACAAATTTGATACGCAATAAACAGTCCCATGTAGAGATTCGCTATTTGTAATCAAATCAACTTCAGTAGCGGTATAATGTTTACTGTCGATATACACACCACTTACAGTAAGTTTAGTTAACCAGAGACTGAGTGGTCTAGTAATGCTCGCCAAAGCCACCACTTGTTTGAATTATGGAATGGAGGCTTAATGGAAGAAAGCTAGAAGGGTGACGTTGGGGTGGTCGTGTATTATTCTGTTTTAAAGATAAAGAAGCGCTATCAGATTTGCTCTTATTTTTCACATATTATTTGTTCTGGGTTTGTGGAATTTTCACATGAAGTTTAATGTTCCAAAATTTTGAGTCAGCACGAAGGATGATTTCCACCCTTGAGATAAAGTCGTTTCTGTTGGTCAAGGCAGGACAAACGGATCAAAGCCCAATAACGGCAACTGAATAATTACAAATCCATTGCTGACTTAATCCACTGGCGCAAATTCTTAATTTTTTGTGTTTTGAAAAAAATTTACAACAAACTGTTATTGTGACTTCACCGTGCTCGAAGATTTTACCGTTATCTAGTCTGCTTTACGAACTACTCTAATCTGACACAAACAGGAATAGGTGCAAAATATTCCAAAAGTGTAAGGTGTTTCACTTTACATTGTCAGGTAAAATTTTTTGTTGTGAGTTGAGTCAGCTATCAAAACCTGGATGCACTTTGTGAAAGTAATTAATAACGCGATGCTCGAGATGTTTTTCAATGATTCGCAATGCTGAGCAACTCCCATCGGACTGAAATAAGAGATGAAAACCTGCATTTCAATGTTTAACAAGAAGTTGTTCCTTTACTAATTAATCAATGTAAAATACACGAGCCTGCTGAGTCTAACCGTTATTAGGTTCTTCAGTGGCTCACCTACAAATGTACTGAAATTTCGCAGAGAACAACCCTTTCTGGATTATTTTGCCTATAATCGCGATCGGTATACTGCAAACATACTCAAGATTCTCCTCCGACGATGACTGTGCTTCTTTGTTGCCACGTTCCGCTAAACGTTTCTTCAAGCGTAAGATAAAATATCCAAGTTGTGCACACAAACTGTACTTGCCTATAAATTGACCATTGTTCGCAAGTGAAAAGGGGGTGTCATATATCCTGTTGCTTCAAAAACCCATGATATTTTTCTGCCTTCTGTACACAGACGTGCTGTTATTAAATATTCAACTGAGGTATACACATATTAGGAATGGAAGTGGCAGAATGTGACGCCCACGTGGTTCTCCGGAAGGGACAACCCACAACACAAACCTCGGCCATACAAATCAAACCACCTTAGCTGTTTGGACATATGAGTATTAGAGGGTACGTAATTGGATCCCAAATGGAACTGATGTTCGTTTGGATTACGCTTTTATGTCAAATGCTGATCTCCAGTCTTGGGTCGAACGTGACGAAGCAATCTGGCCCAAACATTAGGCACGGCGCTTGTGGCCAATACGTACTATTACATATAGGCCCTATACTCAATTCTATAAGTTTGAAAAGTGAGCTTCATTTCATAATGCTGGAGTTTGTCGTGATACCAGTATAGCCATCAGAAATGTGCCGCGATGCACCCATCAAACAGAAAAAGCAAAATTCAGCCTCACTCATGGAAATTGTGATTATACATGGCACTGTTTCCTGTCACCATAAGTCTAAGCAAGCATGATTGGGTGTAGACCAGGAATTATTTAAAAAATTTGGAACCGCACTTTAAGAAACGGTTTTGATAATGACTTTGGGACTTTGATTATTATTATTCGCAAACCCGAATTTCATATCTTTGGTTCGTCATTCTGTGTGGTCCCAGAAGCATGACTTTTCATTCACTACTTTATCTTAGAACAATTAACAGGACCTAATATAATCCATCTATTTATTAAGAAACCGAAAATCTAATATACCGTCCCTAGTTATTATTGTTTAACATATCTGCATTGCGCATTTTGTGCTGAACCTATTTAGATTAATGTTTACTCTGATTAAGCTATGCGCTCTTCGCATAAGCCACTCACTGTACAGTGGGATTCTGGGTTAGAATACCTAGGAAACAGACTGAGAAAAGAAGCAGTCGATAAATGAGTGTTAGCTTCAGCATTTTCTGTATGAGCTTATCCACGTCCGTCTTGTGGCACCAGAAGGACTTCAGCTCGGAACGATGTAGCAGTCGCAATTGTTCCAGTCATCATGATTGCATCTTGAATCAACAGGAAAAAAATGGGCAGGACACATTTCACATTTGGACAAAACGGTTTGTTCTCATGTATAAGTAGCAGAATAAAGATTGACGCACGTGGTATTCAAAATTTATGGTTGATTAGGTTCTTCAGTGGCTCACCTACAAATGTACTGAAATTTCGCAGAGAACAACCCTTTCTGGATTATTTTGCCTATAATCGCGATCGGTATACTGCAAACATACTCAAGATTCTCCTCCGACGATGACTGTGCTTCTTTGTTGCCACGTTCCGCTAAACGTTTCTTCAAGCGTAAGATAAAATATCCAAGTTGTGCACACAAACTGTACTTGCCTATAAATTGACCATTGTTCGCAAGTGAAAAGGGGGTGTCATATATCCTGTTGTTTCAAAAACCCATGATATTTTTCTGCCTTCTGTACACAGACGTGCTGTTATTAAATATTCAACTGAGGTATACACATATTAGGAATGGAATTGGCAGAATGTGACGCCCACGTGGTTCTCCGGAAGGGACAACCCATAACATAAACCTCGGCCATACAAATCAAACCACCTTAGCTGTTTGGACATATGAGTATTAGAGGGTACGTAATTGGATCCCAAATGGAACTGATGTTCGTTTGGATTACGCTTTTATGTCAAATGCTGATCTCCAGTCTTGGGTCGAACGTGACGAAGCAATCTGGCCCAAACATTAGGCACGGCGCTTGTGGCCAATACGTACTATTACATATAGGCCCTATACTCAATTCTATAAGTTTGAAAAGTGAGCTTCATTTCATAATGCTGGAGTTTGTCGTGATACCAGTATAGCCATCAGAAATGTGCCGCGATGCACCCACCAAACGGAAAAAGCAAAATGCAGGCTCACTCATGGAAATTGTGATTATACATGGCACTGTTTCCTGTCACCATAAGTCTAAGCAAGCATGATTGGGTGTAGACCAGGAATTATTTAAAAAATTTGGAACAGCACTTCACGAAACGGTTTTGATAACGAGTTTGGGACTTCGATAATTATTATTCGCAAACCCGAATTTCATATCTTTGGTTTGTCATTCTGTGTGGTCCCAGAAGCATGACTTTTCATTCACTACTTTATCTTAGAACAATTAACAGGACCTAATATAATCCATCTATTTATTAAGAAACCGAAAATCTAATATACCGTCCCTAGTTATTATTGTTTAACATATCTGCATTGCGCATTTTGTGCTGAACCTATTTAGATTAATGTTTACTCTGATTAAGCTATGCGCTCTTCGCATAAGCCACTCACTGTACAGTGGGATTCTGGGTTAGAATACCTAGGAAACAGACTGAGAAAAGAAGCAGTCGATAAATGAGTGTTAGCTTCAGCATTTTCTGTATGAGCTTATCCACGTCCGTCTTGTGGCACCAGAAGGACTTCAGCTCGGAACGATGTAGCAGTCGCAATTGTTCCAGTCATCATGATTGCATCTTGAATCAACAGGAAAAAAATGGGCAGGACACATTTCACATTTGGACAAAACGGTTTGTTCTCATGTATAAGTAGCAGAATAAAGATTGACGCACGTGGTATTCAAAATTTATGGTTGGTCGTTTTAATGCAGGAAACGTTTCGACACTGTCTTTGGTTCTAATATGTAGCTACATGAATGTGATGACTACCGGAATTACTTTATTCGGAGTTTATTGAGGCTGTGTGTTCCATTCACAGAAACAGGCAGATGGCATTTATCCATAAGGTATGTACAAGCTCTGTGTAGCATCTTCTACTCAGTAGGTGACCTTTTAATTGAAAGCTACAAATGCGCATAGGACGATAAAAGGTGCATTGAAAAAGCATTTGACGATAATATAACCTACTTTGGAGATTGATGAGAGTTAAGCTACTACAAGTAACCATCTCGCCTTGCAGGCTGAGCACAGCAACCTTTGTAAGCCAAGGATATACGATCAGGAGGTAAGGAAAGAATTCGAGTTACATACTGAACTCCGAAACGATAAGATATGATTATTGTGTCAGTTTAAGAACAACATGACACCAAAACTGGATACAAACTGCATCAGTTAGGTTCTGCAGGTATCGAAGGTTTAGTGATCGAAATGAAACAACTGCGTAATATCTTTTTAAAACCGATGCTCACATTAACAGAAGCGATGATCTGTCCTGGTCACCTATCCTGTGATGCGATTTGTGGTACACCCCTTATTGTCAGGTACATATTGGGGAGGAGCACACATGTACGTGCACTGCATTCAAGGCGACTGGCGAACTGTGTTTACACATTGTGTGGATATTCTTGAAACGATTCAGGATCGACGAGAATGATTCAAGTAAGTCATCTTTCCTGAGAAATCGCCTGATGTTGACCCATTCCTTCTTAGTTTGTTGGCAGCTGGGGTTATGTGAGCGAGAAATCATAGACTTACTAGATGGGAAACATTCCAAGAGAAATGCCAATTTGGTGCAAAACAAATTTGAAGATTCTCAGGATCCGGAAAACCAGGTACATCTTTGTTCATCCGGGCTTTTTACTGTCACTAGAAGGAAGGACCGTTAAAGCAGAGGAGAATTAGTCCGGATGATTTGTGTCCAATCTGTCAAGACGAACTGCTCTCAAAGCAGCGTTTTCCCGTCACATTTTGTCGCAAAGGATGTGGAAATAGCGTGCATATTCGTTGCATGCGTGTCTGGACAGATCATCAACGAAAGCAAAATACAATAAGTGAGTTCTGATTACGTGAAAGCTATTCTTGGTGGTGGAAGTCGTCTGACATAAATCATTAAAGTTGAACACTATGAAAAGTACGCTAATATGGCTACACATCTGAACGGTGAGAGCTTAGCCATGAAAATACTTGTGGATGTCATGAAAAGGCTCTAGAAAATAACCTGACAATCCAGTTAGGATATTTCCATATTTCTGAACTACCTACGGGTTTTACGATTGGAGGTGGCCTAGATACTCCGCCGGGTTCAGAAATTGTTCATCATCATCATCATCATCATCATCATCATATCATCATCATCATCATCATCATCAAACTTCTCGTAAATCAGGTTCATTTAATTTTTTAGCTTGAAAATACCTTGTGAAACAATAAGGTTGTCACAAAAAAACCTCATCGCCAGATGCAGAGGCACTTACGTTGTCCGTGGGCTGTTCTATCGTTTTCGTATGGTGCCCTGGACTGAATATAAGTTGTATCAAGTTGTATCGGCGGGAGATGTTGGGTCTTCGACAAATACCTAGTGCCGGTATGCGCATTCATGCATCTTCTACACATCGTTTACCTGCAGAACGATGCTATTGGTCAACAGATTTGACATGTACAGAGGCGTGTAGCCCTTAAACCTCATACTCAAATGTACTGAGATTTAGGGGTATTGATTTTTCAGTGCGATTTGTTAATCTCTTGGTTTTCTGGCGCGTCGTTTCAAGAGCTATTGATACCCCCGGACAAACAGCCAAACGAATTATTTGTCAACTAAAGCAAATACTACCGGCGTTGCACTTTCACTGAAGATTTTGTTTTTTAAACTGTGTTAATTCAGCACTTCACAGTCACATGTTCAAACATGCTGTATATGAATCCAAACATCCTGAAGCTCAAAAGCTCTACCTCGTCTCAAGCTCTGTGTATTATACAGACAACTGTAACCCTGAGGTGATTGTTCAAAACAAGGCGCTTGAGCCACTCATTGGAGCACTGCCAAAGTTGCTGAGTATCTGCAGGTTAACTCAGTGATTAAAATGTCGCCATAATAGAGAGAGGAAATTTTTATCTCTAAGCGGTGGCAATTAAACCCTCATGTTGGGAATCTACCTCAAAACTGACCTCACGTTTGTTAATATCTTACAGCTTAAGTTAAATAACCATATGTCAAATCTTTCTCGCAAGCGATAAGAAAATGTGAAAGCAGTGAAAAAAGAAGGGGGAAAAAGAAGAAAAACGAAGAAGTGAGATGAAAAAGGAAGAACAAAGGATACTGAGGTTTGGCTGCATGCCGGTATTTTTGAGCTGAGGTACTATTGGCACTAAGGCAAAGCAACAAAATGTTTCATAACGTAAATCTGGCAAAGCGCTTGAGCTGTATCCTATCAACTCTAATCCAGTAGGGTAGTTCTACTGCGTGCACACAGCTCCACCATTGTAAAAGATGCGTTCTCGAGATAGTTAAAAAGATGACGGAATCCAGCCTGTACTGAGAGAGCATTCTGCATGTGTGGCATCATTAGGCAAGTCTTGAGAATACGTATACAGCAGTTCATATTTCTTTACCGAATGAACCCAATAGAAGTAAACAACGCGTTTTTAGCGTTTGCTTTCATTTTGAGAGCGGCATTACATAAATGAGAAATTTTTCAAATGGCACGCTTCAATTTTTCATAATGAACAGTACTAGTCGTGGCAGCGAAATTTCCCACACATAGGCGCATGGAGTTCGCCTAGAAAGGATTCTCCAGTTGATCTGGGTTCACAGTAACATGCATGGACAAGATAAACAACTTTATTCTCATAAATTTGACCACATTTTGCCGTTTTCCTTGTGGTCGTTGACGTGAGTTATCAAGTATGGCTTGGATAACAATAGTTCATTTCACATTAGTTGCTCGTTATTGTTATCCTACTACTAAAGCTACATTGATGGTAGAGGTGCTATTAAAGCAATTAGTTTCTCTTGATTTCCCACCCGCTTAGAACAAATCGACAAAACCAGCTAACCCGTTTACAGGAAACCCCCTAAAGTTCGTGTTGCGCGCGCCAAGGTGGTGCCAAAGATCATTAACTCCGCTCTACTAATCTCATTCACAATAGTCTCTCAGCTGCACTTAACATTAATGATGTTTTGATACCCAAACGGATGTGTTTTTGGTCTTGATATGAATCACATAACTTGTGCCTACAGAAATTCCGGAACAAAGATTGAATGCATCGGCGCAAAATGCTCTGGATTGGAAATCTTGGTGGACGGTCTTCTGAGTAATAAGTAGACCAGGGGTGACTGCAAACTCCGCGTGGTAGTAAGGAGAGGATATTTCTGAGGTCCATTAATAGCCAGATGTCAAGTAGGTCCAATAATAAGCGAGCATCTCTGCATATATTTGGGAGTCAGCCGTACCTTGAAAGTGCCTAATCCCATGAGGCGTACAATCAAGAGAGAGCTCTGTTGCCTGCCTCGAATGCACATGAATTACGGAATGAGGTAAGCAGATAGTGCTGTTCAATGATCATAGAAAGAGGTCAAAATGGCTTGGATTACGTTTGACATAATAAACGAAAGGGAGGGGGATCAAACAGCCTACATTAAGAATGCTAAGGTTCTATGATTTCAGCTTTCATTTTTGTGGCAGATAAAATTCGTGTGTCTAAACCGGGCAAAAAATCTTCACTTCGAGTTACTGAATGAACACCACACAGCGAAGAAATAATCACTGACTTACCTGAAGTTCAGAGTGCTTGTGGGAACTTTTGTCGAGCTCAAAGGTTGCGTAAATAAAGCCTATCTACAGGCAGTTTCTCTGCAGAGTCGAAGAGCTAGCCCTTACTGATTCAATATATCAAAGGCCCGAAAATTTTCGATTACTAGTGTTGTGCGTGTACGGTGAGAGCACTTCTCGGGCAACGGCCAGGCCGGCCGATGCGTCTTTAGCGCAACAAATTTCAGCAAGCTCCCGAATGTGACCAGTGCGCGCTTTCGGCTTTGATGGTTGGACTAGGCTCGTCGGATATCCGCTCAGTGCCTATCACAACAAGCTCTAAGCGCGAAGTCTGGGGTCAGATGGAGAACGAGCTCCGATGGGAAAACAACTATGGTGCCATAGTATTAGAAAGACTAACAGCACAAATTACATCAATGAGTTTGTCTTGATCCCAATAATGAAATTCTCAAGTCAATGAGACTGCTTCATTGACACATACTGCAACAGATTACACGTCAATTATTGATAAGACATTTCTCTGATCACTGTACCATTTTTTAACCGTTGGTTGTTTTCAGTCATGCGCCAAATGGACCCAATCCTGTTTACTAGGTTCTGTGAATATATATGCTCAGTAAGATACAGTTGCTGTCCGTCATTCAAATTCGAACGGAATGACAAAGGACTTGGATGGCGTTAGAAGTATTATACAGCTAGTTACTAAGCAGTGTTCCCAAATAAGATGAAACTTTTCGTCTTCGAATCGTTTTTATCTTTTCTGTAACTAATGTGACCTATAGACCCCACCTCGGTCTCGTCTGCAGCCTGAATTATTCTAGATAATGTGGCTCTTTCATGTGGACAGTATAACCAATTAAGACAGACTGTACCTATCTGAGTTTGTTGTGTGTCAGTAGGTGAACTATAAAGTGCCAACCACAAAGGGCTGAATGTATGTATGCATATATACAGAAACCAAATCAACGACAATCGTTGTAATTTTATGGAGCTAGACGCCAAAGTCCCATTCTGGCTTTGGTGCACCCCTATGTCAGCGATGATAGCAACGACAGTGGTGATACGACTGTCTAAAGTACAGCCTTATCTAGTCATACGAAACACTGTGATAGCTCGGACGAATTCAGTTTTAGAGTAACCATAGACATCAGGACAGGTAATTTGTCACCGAGGTTGAGTATTTTGTTATTAACTGTCAGTTTGGTCCATCACCTTCACCTATGACATGCCGTCGCAGGTCTTGTCTCACTTGATGTGCTTCAACTGGTGTACTAATACGTGTTTTATGTGATTCAGTCTCAAAGTAAGTTGGTATCCTCAACAGCTGAGCCGACTGAAACATGTCTGAACTACCAACCAGCTATAACTGGCGAAAGAAGCTGCCTTCACTGCCACCTGTTCTATGATTATGTCTCTGGAGGTTAAGGAAACAAGCAGAATTATAACGCTTTAGGCATAGCTGACGAACATTATTCGGCAGGAACGACTCGATCACATTTGTACTCACACCCTCCGTTGTGATTGGATCGCACTGCATACTTAGTTTTGGGTCACTGGAAGAGTAAGAAATTCCCTAACATTGTTAATGAGTCTCGTTTGTCGAATAACCCACTTTTTACCACAATCTAATTTGAAAACATTCCTGGATGATCGAAAACCATCTTTTTTACTTAGATCTCTCGGAAGCTGTCCCATGTCCGATTTGCCGCGGGGAATTCGCTTCATTAGGAATATTGTTACGAGAACTATCAGAAGACGTTAACGCAATGACCTCGAAGAACGTACCCACAAAGACGGTGCAACCTGCTACTTCATCACAACCACAAAATCTAGTGATGAAACCTCGCCACCCAGCAACCAAGTGCTTGTCTTGTCAATGCAGTCCGATTTTAGGAAATATTTACCGCTGTGAAACCTGTCTCGATGATCAGAATGAGGAAAAGGACATATATCTTTGCTCGGTCTGCTTCAAATCTAATCAACATGCTGATCACGACAGTTTCTCCTATCGTGAGGTAAGTGTAAATAGGGCTTTTGGTGGTTCGCTCGTCACAATCACTGAAACAAATAAACTACAGCAAAAGCTGGAGACGGTCCCTTCAAAAAAAATTAAACAAACGGAAAGTATTGTCGTAAAACCAATTTCCGACGAATGGTAGCATGAGATTTTATCCTGCAAGTAAAGCCAACCTATGCTTGAAAAACAAGAAATACTGTACATCTGCTTCATCCAGATTGGGAACCATTGGCGATGTGCATTTCACGAAACTCCAGGGAGGTTCAAACCCGCTACGTCCAGGCTAGCAGCTGAACCGTTTGACGACGAGCGGCGGATCACCATTCGTGATTAACTTACACTGTGATTGACGTTACTGGTAAGAGATTCGGTGATTTTTGGTTGAGGCACACAACTTCTCGGTTTTCACGCACAGTTTGGCTTCAGTTAAAGAACGGAAATGGGTAAGGTTACCCACACGCCGAAAACCTATTATCAACAACCCAGGGGATGCTGTTTGGATAGGAGATCAAGTGTTGGTTAACTGGTATACCTAGATACAGGTCAGAATTTCAAAAATAACTGGTGGACTGCTCCTAACTTCGAAGGTAAGTTATAAAAGTAGGAGTAGGCTAGTCAGAAATGGATCTATGTGTATATGTGGGGAGGCTGAAAGCTATGGTTGACTTACTGTTGTGTCACTTGTTGTCTGGCTGATGGCCCGGAGGTTCAAATGCCTAAGAGTGCACTGATGAGGTGAAAGCGTTTTATGAAAGACCTTATCTTGAGCGTAAAAGTAGGTCAACAGTGGTGCTGCTGCTGGTGTTACCTAATATCACTGACCACTCATATCTATTGCTTTTCCACATTTCTGGCTTACATCCGTCGAATATTTAGGTCTTTTGTTTTAAAAGGTTATAAAAGGTCCGCGGAAAATTGTGTAGAGGATGGTAACTGATAAGTAGAATATCTCAGCTGCACAAACATTTGAACACGTACAAAATGCAGGCCAAAGTTTTTCTACACAGCATTTGCATACACTCAAGCTGCAGCCCTTCATATTCTCCCGAAAACGAGCGGTGAATGGCCTGAAACATAACAGCAATTAGCCTACGTATAGGAAAATTAGATGCCCCCATGATCAATGGTATTCCCATCATCTAAAACAAGAAGCGATAACACATACGTAGGAGCTGCCATAAAATTTTGAACAGACTAGGAGTTTCTTGCCTACTCATACGGTTTAAGTTTAATTGGCTACAAAGAATTCAAACAGGTGATCGGAATAGCAACTGTTATCATGAAGGTGATTGTTGTTAGTCCGTATCTACGCATTGTAGTGTGCAAAGCCAGATGTGCTGGGGGGGGGGGGGTCAGGTGACTGATGCGTTTGTGTTTCATTATCATTGGGAAGTCGAGATAGCTGGATGGGGTAGCTTTACTTTCAGTCGCTGTTATGTAACGGATAGCTGTCATTTTAATTGAGGTTTAAAGACATATTCCCTCGGAGCTTCTTCCGGACGGGTTGTGGATTCGCCGAAGATGTGACATTGCAAACTTAACAACCCCAGTCTCGTTTGAATTCGCAGTTAGAATGGGCATCAACAACAATCCATCGGTTATGCTTGGTAGAGCAATATGCGCAGGTTGCGGCAAGTTCAAAGCGTATGCAGAAACCGGCGCAGGAAGCGAACGGCTTTATTGGTTAGTCAAACACTATCTAGCTCCTAGAATGCTATCTTTGTGTAGTTTGGACCAGCAAACAAGGCAGCTTGCTAGTGACTTCATTTCCAAATTCCCCGGGTGGACGTCTCAAGTCTAGCGCACTGTTGGCCTTCTCGATCAATCTGTCGAAATTTTACGAGCTTGCGAATGGATGACCTTTCTGGAGGCTTACTTCGCACATTCTACTGTATGACGACATCCCTGGTGTTGTGAGTTCTGGCCGAAATACTTAAAGATAACGTTCGACTAACACCAACGCTGCTGTCAATCATGCGTTGAATAAGTGCAGCATTATCGACGAGTGACGGATATGCTATATTAGGTCCACAAGCGTATGTGTAAGCAAGTAAGCAATTATGGATAGCAAAGAAGAACCAGTTTATCAGCTTCGTCATCTTCGGTCCGGAAAACTTGAACGCAACTGTACTGATGAGTAGCTTCACTGTTTTTACAGACCAGCAGCAGTTAGTGTTGCGTTCGTCTGTCTGATAGTAGTATCGAACCAGACTTTCTTCGTACATCACCTGTTGACGGTTTTAAATTGAGGTTTATCCAACTCCCCCCCCCCCGGCACCAAAGACCCAACCCCCCCAAACCGG